TCAGTTTTGTTTATTTAAATCAAAATTCGCACATTTTACAGTTTTTAGACCAAAAGGCACTAGCCCAGAAGGGCTATTAATTTTGTTTTGGCATTTCGTGGCGTTTCACTATAAACGGGGTTTCACTTTTCAAATTGTTGCTAATAAATATTAGCACCCTGCAGTCGCAAGGATGAAAGTTTAACGTGTCCAGAAATCAAAGAACAGTAAACTTTACATTTTTAAACATAAACCTTTTTAGAAAAAATCCCGTTGAAAAGGTGTTAAGCTCACTTTGTTAAATAAATTCGTATTTAATCGATTTATTGAAACACGAAATTTATTTTAAGTTCGTAAAATAGCTAAGTGCCTACGTTTCATGATTTTAGGGTGGTTAGTTATTGCAGAAGCGAAGAGGACAATAAAAGTGTTTCGAGACTAATTGCATTTCTGGTTTAATAATTTTAGAAAAAAGAGCTTAAAGAGAAATATTACATCAAGGATTGTTTTCGTTTTCGTTTTAAGAAGTTACACGCGATTGTGAACATAACACCCATTTTGCATCATTCTTTTCAATACGATCGATGTCTTCCCTTTGTTACCAATGTTTGGAGTAACAGAAAGATAAATGTAATTTATCGCCGATTTTCTGCAGTGGTAACATCAGATTACATAAACTTTTCTATACAAAAGTCATCCCCAATATATCCGACTGCAGCAAAAATAAATAAATTATTTCTACATTGATTCTAATTGATTTCATGCTTCTGGAATTTGATTTATACCTGAACAATGAGAATTTATTTTATAAATAGAAGCATATTTGCTTCTATCTTTCTAGTAAAACCTATGATCATAAACGGTCCTTTGTATTATATTTTGATTAATTGGAACACCGTAATAAAGATTATTTTACGAAAAAATAATTACCTGAAGCTCAGTAGAAACTTTCAAACCAATAGTAAAAAAAAAAAAAAAAAAAAAAAAAAAAAAAAAAAAAAAAAACTTTTTAAAAAATTTATGCAGCCAGCAAAAGTTATTATAATAAAAATTCTGCTATGAAAGCCACATGATTTCCTTGTACGGCCTATTAAATTATACACTTTTTTGCTGCACTTCATTTAAACGTACTTCCTAGAATTGTTCTTAGCTTACCGATTCTCCAAGGAAAATTGAAAATGACATAAAAAACTGCAGATTTTGAAATTAAATATCGCGGCCAATTTTCATCTTACGAAAGTCAAACTCCTTACAATTTTATTTTTTCATTAAAGATTATAAAATTAATTATTAAGTTAGGATTTGCAATTTTCTCATTGAGCTGAAGTTTCGATATTTATTGTTTGGGGTTGAAAACTATCTGCGCCATCAACGTTATGTAGCGCTATGGTCTCAAACTGGTGGCAACATAAGCAATTTTAAGTGGTTCGCTGATACATTCTCTAATACATTTCTCTTATGTTTATTAGAATTATTATGACATTAATTACGTTGGGAATAATTCGAAGAAAGTCCAATTTTCCACTATTTTCATTGCTATTAAAACACGCAAAGAATTCTGCGAATGGAGAATTAATTAATTTAGACCTGTGATATAAATCTTACTCAAAGATCAGAAGATACAAATTTGATTAACCTTTTTACTTCCTTGTACGAAGCAAAGGATGTATTATAATCGCGAAAAATTTTAAGCATCAGATTGCAACGAAAATATCCATTTTGACCACTATCGAATGCAATTTAACGACGTATTTTAATGACGTTTAATAAAATCTGTATGTAAAGGACTCTCTTTCCCAACACAGACTGTAAAATGCATTTAAAATGGATTCATATAAAATTGAAATTTATTCGTGACGTCTCTGCGTACGTATCTATGTATGTATCTCGCATAAATCAAAAACTAATCGCCTCAGAAAGTTGAAATTTTGTATGTGGGACTGTTTTAATAGGCAGTTAGCAGTGCATTATATTTCTCATTTGTACATCGTACCCTTTTGGTTGCAATCGGGCGCACCAAAAGTATATAAATACTATTCATATATATATTCATATATATATAAAATTCATATATAATATTCATATGTATTAAATTCATATATATATATATATGCCTTAAAATTTTGTTAAATTTTGGATTAATAGCTTTTTTAGTTATTTATTTTAAATTGCACATTTGCCTAACTAAGCTTTCTTGTAAAGATTTTTCTTGTTAATTAATAATCTTTACATTTACAATTTAAATTACTGCGCGTCGGGAAAAGAAGCGATATGAATGAGACTTACTAAAATTTTTTAGATTATTAAGTTGGATTATTCTATTAGTGGAAATTACGTTTATAGTCTCAATTATTATCGTTTGACGAAATGCGCTATAGGTATTAATTTAGTTCGAGTTTTGAGCTGCTTTTCCCTTGATAAATCCGGCTCAAACCTCGAGTTGAGCTTTTTACCATATATTGCAATTTTCTGTGCGTATTTATTGTGTATTTGAAATTAATTTAATTTTTACAAGAAGTCTTTTCAAAATTGTTTGTGCGTTAAAATCTCTTAATTTTTTCTCAACCTTTTTGATTTTGAAGTCATCTCGATTTGGAATTTTTGCATTTAGTTTTTACGAGATAGCTTTTACTACTTTAATATTGTTTCTAGTTGTTACATGATTTTACATTTTTGCTAATAAACTATGGTGTCAAATGTATTTTTTAGCATTAGCTCTTTAACATTCCTCTTACTTATAAAATTATAAAAATTTTGCTGCTCAATGAGCAAAATTCTTGACTACTAAGGTTTCTCTAATTCATGTTGTTTTGCTACTTTCGTATTCATATATATTCATATATTCAAATATATACACCCACTTTGTAACTCGGCTCGGTGAGGTCAGTTTTTTATTCTTCTATGTTGGTAAATTGTGAATTTTTGCTTTAAAAGTAATTGAATTATGTTGTTCTTATGTAGCGGTTAATTTAATTAAGGGTTTTATGCCTTTAGTTAACCTGCACGAAATAGTTGTTACATTATTACCAATTTAAAAGTTGTTTAATTCGGATAAAGCCTGACAGAACAGCCATTTGTTTACATTTGAAACTTAGTAGAATAGTACATTAAGTCAATTTCTGTACCTTCAGTATTTTTTTTTGCCGAGTGGGACCAAAAGTAAGCGTCCAGTTTTGTGCACCAAAAAATCTGCCTTCTCGCGCGCTGGCCAAATTGCGGGGTTTTGGATAGAAACTGTAAGTTTTATCGCAAAAAGAGCTTTTTTAACTGTTTTAATTGTTATCTGGCGTTTTCTGTGTTTTTATATTTTTGAATTTTTAACTATGTTTTGAGTTTTATGTATTTTTGCCTTGCTGCGAAGTGAAAATTTAATTAATTGAATGAAAAATATATTTCTGATGAAATTTTGAGGAAATAAATTTAATTGAAATTCAGCAAAAATATGTATAATTTAGTAGGCCGGACAAGGAAGTCCTATGGTGCCCACATCAGATTACTTTTCTTTCGTCAGGAAAATTTTAAATTAGAATTTTTGAATAAGAAAATCACTTTGTTTAAACAACAGTTTTTCCGCAGTTAAAAATAAAACTGACAGAAACTGACTTAAATCACTATTATACCAAGTTTCAAATGTAAACAAATGGCTGCTCCGCCAGGCTTACTCCCCCATTAATCAACTTTTAAACTGTTGGTAATTCTACAACTACTGCATGCAGATTAACTAAGTGCATAAAAACCTTAACCGGAATATAAGAACAACATAATTCAATAATGTTTAGCAATAAGCAAAAAATGCAGAATTTACCGACATAGAAGAATGAAAAACTGAAATCACCGACCCGAGTTACAGAGTGAGTGTGTATATATATATATTATATATATATAAACATATATTACGGTTAAACATCGAAATCTGGAGAATGTCGACTTTCACAGGTGAATGTCAACTTTCACATCGTCGCTTGGTGTATGTCCGAGATGTTTTCCAAATACTCTTATTTCTGACTTACACCGGTCAATGTCGACATTCACCATGTACCAATGGTGAATGTTGAACATATAAGAATATTATATTTTCTTCTCCGTAATTCAGTCGCGAAAAAACGCACTTGAGATTTAAAATAAGAACTTAAGAACTTAATACACACAGTATATTCAAAATGAGAAAGGAAAATAATAGAAGTTAAGAAGTTACTTAATTATACAGTACGTTCTAAATGAGAAAATAAAATAATAGTGATAAAAAAACTTACTAAATTCTGTGATTCAAATCTTATTTAGTGCAACAACCTAAACTATTATGACACTTTATGACCTCTCTTTTCGACCTACAGCAGAGCATATATGTGATTGTCGACATACACCGGTGAGGGTCCGGATGTACAAGAATGTAATGCCATATTCGATCTTTCACCGACGTATTTGGTGAATGTTGACATTCTCCAGTCGATATTCTCCGATTTCGGTCTTTCATGGTAACATATGTATATAGTATTTATATACTTTTGGTGCGGCCGATTGTAACCAAAAGGGTATGATGCACAAATGCGAAATATGATGCACAGCTACACATTAAATCAGTCTGACATACAAAATTTCAACGTTCTGAAGCTACTCGTTTTTTGAATTATGCGAGATACATATATACATACATATGTACAGACGCCACAAAAAATTTAAAGTTTAAAAAAGACCATCTACAGGTACAGGGCATCTGCCATTTGTGATAAACACAGTTCCCAACCATTTTCTCCAAGAATACAAACTTTATTGAAATCGAAAAGCCATGATGTGCTATAGCTGAAATTTCTAGTATAATAAATTTCTAGTATATACAAATAAAGAAGTAAAGCAGTTTATAATTATTTGCATACAGGTATATACTTTTTTCTGCGTGCATAAAAGAAAAATTAACAATTAAAAGAATAAGAATAGGTTATCATTATTTATTCTCAAATTCTGTTTCTTTTGGAAAGTTTTCATAATTTTTTAATTTTTAGCAAGATAAAGATTCTACTTACGTTGTTGTCTAGGTAACCATTTCCATCTGTATCATACAGGCGAAAAGTAACTGAAAAATAAAGCGAAAATAAATAAGGTGAATTTAACAATGAAATATCAAGCAATAGAAGATTCGCCCTCAATACATTTTCATTACAGTTAAATTAACATAGCACACCAGTAATGACCAGAAGTTATGTAGTAATTATTTTCTAGATCGATGATGGAAGTCGAAACGAGTATTTATAGAGACATAATGTTAACCCTCTGAGCGGCACAGGATTTTAGATTCGTCATGAAGACCGGTATTTAAACAGTTATTAATTGAGCTCGTATAATTACTTATTTTAGTCTGTATTTTCATAAACGTACATTCATTAAGATGATATTTACATTCATAAAGAAAGTAAGAAAGGCAACGTTTGTGCTTCAGGTTAGGATAACTGACAGGGTATGTTATTGTTTTATCACGTTAATTCTTGTACTGATAGAGAGAAAAAGTTGTTACATTACATTAAATTTAAGTCACGACGTCATACGTATACGCATAAACCGGAAGTGTCCAAAGTTTTGTATTCCGGTTTGGAAACAAAAAAACTTTTTTCGAATTGGTTGTCGCTTTTTAAAGAATGAACTGACTTCATTGATACTGAAATGTTTTTAAACATATTTTTTTTTTCAGGTGTACATAGAACTCATAAATTTTGCTTTGGTCGCAGCTAGCAACTTTATATACAGCACAGTAATTTGATATTTCATTTTATTTTCCCTTTTCCAGTACACTTATAAGGTATTTCTCCCGCCTTCTTGGCATGACATCGTGGTGTGGTGGTCTGCACGCTGGGCGCGTATCCAGAGGTCCGCGGTGCGATTCCCGGCGAAGGCGTTGCTAATTTTTCATCTTGTCTGCTTCTCCCCCCCAAAAATTCTAATATCTCTACACACTGACCATATAAATATTGCTTTCGACGTAGACCGCTCATCTGGAGGGCTTGCCTGCTAGTTACAACTAAATATTGTGCGTAATTTACATCAATATTGCAAAAAAGATATGTTCTTTTTCCGATCAAAGAATGTATGAAGGCTGTAAAAAATTCAGTGCTAAAGTCTGGACTAACTGCATGGGTTTGCCTACCCTTAGAGGTACTTCAGTCTTTACAGGTGACAGGTGAAAGCGGGCCGGACACCCGGACGGCCTTTTTGGCTACTCGGGAAATGCCCGGACTCGCAACTATCTAGAGCAATACACGCTGACTTCCCACGAGGGCCATAGAAGGCCTATAGCTTAATTACTTTTATTCAATGGCGGACACCTGTCTATTCTGATTGGCCACTCCTAAGGTCAAAGGTGGTGGCCAATTGTTGTGAAGCATCTAATAGGCGGCCACTGTTGCCTCCTAAAACGGATAGCTACAACGATTCTTTCTCCGGGATTCGAACAGGGCTAAATAGAACTTATCTCTCTTCTAAGTCCTGGATTCGAATCCCGGCCCTTCGGTGCCGTGGTAGGCTCCACTTACCACTATACCGTCTGGGTAGCCTTTAACTGAATTTTTACGGGGTCATTGAAATATTTTACTTATTTATTTCGTGGTTGTTCCCATCGGCTGATGTTGACCTTAGCTTCGAAGCCACTAATTATGTAAGTTAGACTCTGATTATCATTCAGGCCCATAAAGATCTAGGCTTTAGAAATATTTTATTGTTACTCATAATTCAGTTTTTCTTCAGAAAAGCCCGGACAGAAATTCGATAATCAGAATTCCAGCCGTGATCTAATTTAAAATATTAAGAAATAAATCATCATGGTTACATTGAGGAAAAGGTGAATTTTTCTTGTCTCCATACGACATTTTTAACTTTCGTTACAAAATAAACGAAGCACAGATTAAATCTCCGAAGAATTTCTCCTTGAACTCAAAGAATGGCGAACCACCGGCAAGTTAAATGCTTGCCAGGAAATTCAATTATCAGCGGAGGCCAGTGAATTGGCCAAGATCCTGTCAGTTCATTTAATTACTTTGTTTAATTGACTTTCGCTGAGATAGCTCGTGAGGGTAGGGGGAAAAAGAAATTCTAAATTTCGTTTCTAGCGGAAAATTTTTCTCTTAATAAAACTACTTGCAATATGCATGGCAGGCAAGGAACCAAATTGAAAACTGAAATTAAGCTTCTCGTTTTGATAGCTTTGTAAGAAATCTGATGTCGATACTACATGACTTCCTTGTACGGCCTATAATTACGGCCTTGTTCGGACTTAAATTATACACTTTTTTTGCTGCATTTCCTTCAAACTTATTTCCGGAGTTTCATTAGAGATATATTTCTCATACGATTAATTCAATTCTCCCTTCGCGGCAAGGCAAAAATACAGAAAAGCATAAAACACCAAATACAGTTAAACACAATTTAAAAAAATATTTCTACATTAAAATTAAGAGTTTTTATGCGAAAAACAAGCACTTGGGCCAGCTGGCAAGAAGACATTTTTCGGTGCACAAAACTGAAAGTTTACTTTTGGTCTACTACTCGGCCAGAAGACGCTAAAGTTGGTGCAAAAACTGACGTAATTCACTACTCTACTAAAAGTTTCATATGTAAGCAAATGGCTGCTTCGTTACGCTTAGTAGCACTTAAACAACTTTTAAATTGTTGTTAATTCACAACAATTGCATGTAGAATAACTAAAGGCGCAAAACCTTAACCGAAACTTAAGAACAATATACTCCAATCACTTCTAGAGCGAAAAATGCGCAATATACCAACATATAAGAATAAAAAAAAATGAGCTTACCCAGCTGGGTAACAGAGTGGATATACATACATATATATTTATATACACTTTTGTTGCGGTCGATTGCAGCCAAAAAGGGAGGTGCACAACTACATGTCATAACAGACCAAAATATAAAATTTCAACGCTCTGAGGCTACTCATGTTTGAGTGTATTTAATTATGGCAAAGCACACTAGGGCTATCTGCCTACGGGAAGGGATGCCTTCGTGGAGGACTTTCTAAGGGAAACTGGCTCGTATACACGTTACACATGGGGAAAACCACGAAAACGCCCATGCAGCCAGCCCGTTCGCGGGATTTGAACCTCGGACCGAACTACCAGTGTTCAGCGACTTTCCCGCTCGGCCGCTGGTGGGCTACAGACGTCACGAAAAATTCTTTTCTGAATCCATTTTAAATCCATTTTACAATCCGTTTTGGAAAAAAAGAGTCTTTTATTCTGTCCGTACGTACAAATGTCGCGCAAGAACATCGTTGTAATGGTTTCGAGAGTGGCTGAAATGGATATTTTTGTGGAAATATGATACCCGAAAATTTTTCACGATTAAAAAACTTCCTTTACTTAGTGCACGTAAGTAAAAAAGATTTAGCTCTGCGAATAATGTTTCGTAAGATTAAGAAATAATTTTTATTTCCTTTACTAAGAGCTGAACATGATTTCAACAAAATATCTAAATAAATAAATAATAAAAAAAATATGAAAGCTTTCAGATTTTACATTACGCCCAAAAGGGCAGATTTTTTAAGTTTTTGTGTGTTACTTTTATTTATTAAATATCACGCTCTTCGCATTTAAACCATAAACTTCAGTTCAACAGCAATATCGCAAAATAGTTTTAAAATGAGCATACCTTTAAAATTTCCGATACACAGTTTTGCGCGCTGGTGATATTTTTTTGTTCCGTACAGTTTTGCTCTTCCTCGCTTTGAAATCGTTGAGTTTCTTTAATCAAAAATTCTTTAATGTCTGCAAAATCTGAAATCGATAATAAAACAAATTCCAAATCCCAAATTGGGCTTCCAGATGCCCATACTCGCTAGAAGATTACGTTATTCAAAAATGGATGGCTCTAGGTACACAGTGTGGAACATACATATTTATGTAGATTTTCTTGTTTGAAACTTTCGATAATATTTAGAGATTATTTTGGTGGAAATTTTTTAATTTCACAGAAATATATGAAAAGACGCAAAATGCCAAAACGAAATTAATAGCCCTTTTGAGCTAACGCTCTTCGGGCTAAAAGATAAGAAAATGCAATTAAAAGAAAACAAAAGATATTTTTTAATGATTCCCTAAAATACGAAATTATTAAAAGAATTTAGTTTAAAAATTGATCAAAAATCCTTTCTCCAGATATCCTATATATTTATACGATTACAATACTTTAATACCTAGTATCATGATGACATTTCAGGTATCAAAGTTTCATTTATTAAAGTTAGCACTTAATCAAGTTAAGCTTATGTAAGTTAGTTTAGTATAGTACATAAAAAAAACTTAAAAAAGAGCGCGCAAACAAATTATTCTCATTTAAGCTAAAATCCTTTCAGGACAACAGACTTTCAAGATGGAAAGCATTCATTTTCACAAACTGAGTAGCATTATTTTAACATAAAAACATTAAAAAAATTATTTTTTTAAATTCCGCAGTGAATTTTTGTTTGCTTAAAACTGCAAGAAGCAGAAAACAGATAGTTTTGTTTTCGTCAAGTTTGATGATGAGATTTTCAACTTTTGCTTCGCACTAAATTCGATACTTAAAAATGATTTCTTAACAAATTTTTAACTCTGCTTGAATGAACTGGTTTGCACCTTGGAGATTAAACTCCAGCTTTATGTAACCTATATGTCCCTTTGACGAGTTTTCATCTTCGAAGGTAAATTCAACCGAACTTAAATTATCATTTTAAAATACATAGTAATAAAAGAAAATCTGAAAGGTTTCACATTTTAAATTATGTCTAAAGGGGCGTTTTTTAAACCATGAAATTCAGTTCAAGAGCAATATCGAAAAAAAATTTTAAAATAAGCATATCTTTAGAATTTCCGAAATACAGTCTCGCGCGCTGGAGATAAAAATGTTTTTTTCTGTACAACGTTGCTATTGCTCGTTTTGAAATTTAATAAATAAAGGTAACATACAGAACTTTAAAAGAACACCCCTTTGGGCGTAATGTAAAATCTCAAAGCTTTCAGATTTTTGTAAATTACTGAAATATTTTTGTTATGCCTTTTTTTTTTTTTTTTTTTTTTTTTTTTTTTTTTTTTTT